ATATATATATATATATATATATATATATATATATATTGGCTGTCTAAAACAATAAAAGGAAAAACTAAAAGTATTTAACTAATAAATTAACCCAGTGTTGAAAAGTGAAAACCTAGTTTAAAGTGTTGTAACTTATTCTATTATTGGGTGGGTTGTTTTGGATCATTTGATAAAAATAATGCTAAGTCCAGGCCATGTAACAATAACATATTAGTTTTGTTTCTTCTATAAGGCTTGCAATAGGCTATGTTTACTTTGATGCAAGAAGTAGGCCTAAGTTTACAAACAAACTTTTCAGCATAAACATTAAAACAACTGTAGGCCTAATACACTAATAATGTTTAACAGAAATTTTCTCAGTTGATAACAAACCTGGCTAACTTACTGATCAGCTTAATAGAAGCTCTAATTCTTTCTGAATAACTTTACTTCATTGGTCTTCTCATAATAATTAACACACTGAATACTTCATTACATTCTCAATCACTGAACTAATTATTTCTTCATTACTGGTTACCCCTATTGATAACAAACATCTCCATGCCTAGATAATGTTACTAGATTGTTGAGACCATTGTGAACTGTATAGGTATCTAGAACTATGTTTATGAATGTTCTTGATCTAAATTAAAACAAAATATAGCTTACAACAAAAGTAATAGTTTCGAAATTGAAAAGTTAAGCTCTTATACTCAAATTATACGATTCTGAAAGTTATTTTATATTATTATAATAATTTGGGTTAAATAACACAATAATAACTAGATATAATAAGATTTGTAAGTAAAAGTAAGACAGTCAAAGTTTAAAGTTGAAAAGTTTAGTGGTGTAAATTATTACTACAATGTTAAAATAGGAGTAGTATATGTAACTGTACTTTAGGCTTAGGTACATTTCAACTTACTGGTAAATTGTAAAACAAGATAAACACATTGTTTTATTAAATAAATACAATCTAAAAACTATTTTATTGTCTCTTGGTGTTTTAAGAATTAACTTGTTTACTTGTACTTAGATCCAGTAGTTTAAATTTACCTTATAGATATAGGTAGGTTATAATATAAATCAGGCTAAATACATTGTATTATTAACATTACATATATTGTTCTAAAAAATATTAAGTTCTATATAATTAAAGATATATGTTATTACTTTAGTGTGAAGACAAAATAATTGGTTCTTAAATATTAGGCTTAACAGTAACAGTGTTAACAATAGGCTACTGGTATTTATTTTCAGGCTATAAATATAAATACAATGGCTAAGACTAGTGTAGGAGATTAGCATTCACAGTGTGTTAGGTGTAATGGGTGGGTTTTAATTGGGGATTCTGTACTTGTATGTACTTTTAAGGAAGATAGTAATGAAGATGTGCAATTTGTATATAGAGTTTGTAGGTTGGAGGAGAAGTTGTAAGTTATCCTAATTAAAGTAGATGCAATAGATAAAGATAAGTGTATAGATTGGGAAATGGCAGCAGGAATTCAGGAGGAGCTTAAGCTTTTACATACAAGGAATACATCAGCTAATAATGACTTTCAGGAAGTTAGAAAGAATACTATTAGAGTAAAAAATAGTGAACTTAATTGTAATAAGCCTATTCTGTTGAGCAACAAATTTCATCACTTGGCTTCTGCAGATAAGGAACTATTGGAGGAAAGGAAAACAGAAGGAACAGAGAAGGATGTGGGTGATAAGGAGGTTATATTTATAGGTGATTCCTTGACAAGGCATGTGGATAGAATAGTCTGTGGGGTAAATAGGGAGAAAATAATCAGATTATGTTACTCAAGGGCATAGGTGAAGGATATAACTGACAGAGCAGGAAATATAATGAAGGGAGCTAGCAGAGATGCAGTTTTTGTGATGCATGCAAGGGCTAATGATGTAGGGAAAGGTAGGGTAGGTCAGAGAAGCTAACTAATAAGTACAAGGGGTTGATAAAGGCATTTAAAGAAAAAGGCCATAACTTTATTTTGTAATGGATAATACTCAGAATTAATTGTGGGGATGAAGTTATAAGTAGGTCACTAGGGCTAAATGGACTAGACAGTGGTGAGGGCCAAGGTAAACTAAATGCAAGAACAATAGAAGGCAGAGAAAAATTTAGCATAGGAAATGAGTATAGAGGTAGTTATAAGGATAGGCTTAATTATTACTATTGTAATGCTAGAAGTATAAGAAATAAAATAGAGGACTTTATAGAGCTCTGGTAGGAGTGGAGGATTTTTATATAATGGGAATAACTGAAATGTTGTTAAACGCAGAGGATTTTTATGACCGAAATGTTTTTGAAATACAGGGTTATAGGCAATTTGATAGGGATAGAGTACCAAGGAGGGGGGGAGGAGGAGTGGCTTTATATGTAAAATGTGAGTTATATCCTCTTGAAGTTGATGATATCAAAGATAATAGCAAGGAGATTGAATCCATTTGGGTTTCTATTAGTGGATATAAAGGGAAAAGGCTTTTAGTGAGAATTTGTTACAGACCTCCAAATGATGCTGATGAAATTAGTGAGAAACTTTACAATGAGATTAACATTTAGTTGTTAATGAAATCATAATTATGGGTGATTTTAATTTCAGGCATATAGATTGGGAAATTCTAGAGTCAAATCATGAGGGAGAAAGGTTTTGTAAACTGTTCAAGTTGGTTTTCTTCACCAGTTAGTCAAGGAACCTACTAGAAACAATGCTATTTTAGATTTATTGTTAACTTCAAATATAGAAATGATCAAGAGGGTGGAAATTGAGGAACATCTAGGTGCAAGTGATCATTGCTCTATTAGGTTAAATGTTTTGGAGATAAGGAATAATGATAATACGGTTACAAATTTCAAAAAAGCAAATTTTGAAGGGATGTGACAAGAATTATCTGTTGTGAATCAGGCAGCTGAGTTATTTGGAGACACTGATCAGATGTGGAAAATTTTTAAACATAGATTTTTAAATATTCGAGGTAAACATATTCCTTATAGAAAGAAAAGGGTAGCTGCAAGTAAAAGACAGGTTGGCTCAGAAAGAGTTTAAAAGATAAAATTAAAGAAAAGCATAAAAATTTAAATTGACTGGTATGACAGGAGATTATAGAAGATCAAGAAAGTTGATGAAAAAGGAAATTAGGACATCAAAAAGGATGATTGAAAATGTAAAATTTAACAGTAAGGATTTCTTTAAATACGTTAAGGGTAAACAAAATGTTAGGATAGGGTGGGACCATTGAGGATGATAAATAAAGGCTAGTATCTGATGATTATGAGATGGCTTGGTTATTAAATTTAGCTTTTTCTTCAGCATTTACTAACAAAGATTTAAGCAGTATTCCCCATCATCAACAGTTTATAAATGGAAACAAGATGACTGCATTAATTCTGGGCTGGTTAAGAAAAAATTGGTAAGTTTAAAGAAGGATAAGGCTCCTGGGCCAGATAATATTTCCCCAAGGGTTTTGATGGAGGTTAAAGATATGAGCCGCTTACTACTATTTTTTGTCAGTCTTTGAATAGTGGGCAGGTACCAGAGGATTGGAATTTAGCTAATGTAACTCATCTTTTCAAGGGAGGTGATAAAAATTGTCCCAGTAATTATAGACCCAATAGTCTTACTTTACTTGTTGGAAAAGTTTTGGACAATCTGTTAAAAGGTGCTTTGCAAAGTCATTTAACAAAGTTTTGAATTTTATTGGATAGTCAACATGATTTCACCAAGGGAAAATCTTGCCTTACAAATCTTTTGACATTCTTTGGAAAGGTTACTGCTTTTGTAGATGAGGGTAAGGGTGTAGATTTGGTGTATCTGGATTTTCAAAGAGCATTTGACAAGGTACCATATAAAAGGCTTCTAAAAAATAAAAATAGCTCTATACGTGTGTGTGGGATAAGTTAGCAAACTGGATAGATAAGTGGCTGGAGGGAAGAAAACAGAGGGTTGTTTCAAATGGAATTCAGTCAAACTGGATTAATGTCACAAGTGGGGTACTTCGGCTCAGTCTTAGGACCTTTGCTCTTTTTGATGTACATCAATGATATAGATGAAGTAATGGTCAGTAAATTACTTAAATTTGCAGATGATATTAAGGTCTTGGGTGTGAAGAGGATGCTGCTGATTTACAAAAGGATTTAGATCATTTGTGAATTGGGCAAATAATTTGCAGATGGGTTATAATTATGATAAATGCGAGATAATGCATGTGGGTATTCATACTTTGAATGATAAGTACAATTGGGATGGGAATAATCTTAACAGTGTCATGAAGGAAAGGGATCTTGGTGTAATAGTCAATCAGTCTCTAAAGCTATCCAAGCAGTTTGTTGTTGCTAGTGGTAGGGCAAATAGGATTTTAGG